GATTGTTACCGATTTGTTGTCACATGAAAATGACAAAAGTGATGCAACTGTTGCTCAATGTTTGAGACCAGAAGTTAGAGAAATTAGAGTTTAGTGTTATAGTATATAGTATAGTTTTCGAAAACTAAATTGCGTGTCTGAATGTCATATACGCTTTATCCCGCAGTGATTTGTTTGTTTACAAGGAATTCGATGCTTACCTCCGATGGCGATTCTTTTTCATGCCCGCAGCCAGGATTTTGCTTGGTGGGGTTGGGGGTTCTTTTTACTCTCTAGGGGACCAACGCTCCCGATGGTTCCCAGAAAATTGTGAAAATTTAACTTCCTGAAATGGTGTTTTTGAAAGGATTTCAAAGAAAAAATCAGCGACACTCACATAACTGCTTCAGACAACATTTTATTGGATGAAAACGAAAGGTTGAGTATGTCCCTTATGAAATGGATTCCGGATTTTAATTAGTCTTTGATATAAAGCTTATATAATCATGTTCTAACCCAATGGCCTTTAGAGTCTTAACTTAGCTCTTAAACTAATATCCTTGCAACCATAGCAGTCTGAATTCATACCTTACAGGTAACAAACGTACTTGGTATTAACTTAATGTACGTCACCTGCGCATGCGTCAGATGGCCATAGCGTGTCACTGTTTACAAACAAGCGTCTACCCACGAGCCTTTGCGTGTTTAGCATGTATTGTTATCGTCACTTGGGACTCAATTCGCGCGCGCGCGTGCGCGGGTGGCGACCTCCCGCTTCAACAGTAATCTTTAGCAGTATAATACGGACTAGGGAAAAACTAACTGTAAACCGCAGGGTTCATTTTCATTCTATGACAACATTTTTCAAGGACTTCCAGACCCTCTGGTGATACAAATTAGTCCGCCTTTTAAAAAGAATTGTGCATTAAAAAAACAGACCTCCGGGCGCGCATGGGGGGGGGGGGCATGTTTTTACGCTCCTTGATGATTGTGTGTCGTGGCTGTACAATAATTCTTCACAACTAGAAAATTTACGGCGATATAATTGAACAAGATTTCCTGGAAAAAGACCTCGGGGGTCTTTCTCACAACCAAAATAAACAAGGTCGCGTGAGTTGCACCCTCCGTGGTGCTCCAAAACCCAGAGCAAGGGCGCCACTCACGCCTACATGTCAGCCTAATATTAATTATTAATTGTATCAAGCATGACCAGTATCCCCCTTGGCTTGTCAAACAAACATGCAGGCAATTTGTTTCAGTCTCTTGTCAGAAGCCAAGTGGACTATTACTCCTAAATCTGGTCGCCGCATCGGATCTATCTGATCAAGATGAACAAATTGGTTCAAAGAAAATTTGTCGATGCTATAATACTTTGTATGCATCATCTAATCATCTTTCAATACTTGCTTATCGGAAAAAGCTTCTTCACGCTATGTTTATCCATAAATATCCAAATAAAATGGGTACAGGTAACCACAGTCTCATGATAGAGGGACTGTAAAATAACACAGCCACAAAATACTGAAAATAAAGTTGATCTTATCTCTGTTAAGGTTTAATAATATTTACTTGAAATCTTAGAATTACAATTTCTCAATCAACAGAGCAATGGTATCTCATCACACCTATCTTACCTTACTTATACCTTTACATAACATACACATATCTGATATGAATATGATAAAAATTACAAACTCATCTTCTGAAAAGGATATCCATAAATATCTTAATCTAAAACCACAAATTAATTTTCACATATGAATGAATTTAAAAAAAAATATTTTTAAATATACAGCTAAAACTAAATGAGTTTGTGATTAATTTTTGTTTATATGTGTTGTCTCATAAAATGAACTGATATTCTGGAAATTGTTTTAAATTTGAGAAACAAATTTTCACAAATCAGTGAAAGTCACAATTCTTTGCTGCTGTCCACATTTTTTTTTGCTCCCCTACAAACACTACATGATACATGGTAGGTCTGCGTCCTAGTGAACTACTACGTAACTGGTGGTGTAACGGTAGCACACTCGTAATGGATTGAGGAGTCTAAGTTCGAATCCTAGCAAAGCTGACGTGGAAGAAGTCACAAAGAAACCGGTATACACGCCGCAACGCCGTCGCTCTACTAATTGTTGTGTAGGACAATTACTTGTTATATTGTGAGCTTATTGAAACCAGTACTTGTCATTTGTTTGTACGCTAGTGATATTGTTAATTTAATGTAATCTTGGTTTGTTGAGTTGTGTCGACCACTCATTATATAGTATAGAATCGTTTAATTTATCCCTGTTTTGATCAGGGGTACCCTGTTTAGGGCATTGAATGTGTCACGTCCTGAATGGTATTGATTTAACACGTTTGTAATAGTTTCGTGTGTATTAAAATAGTATTGTGAATATTCAAATACGATAGTTTCATTCCATTTAATTGTATGCTAGTGCACGATTATGGAAGGAGTAGCAGGACGAAGGTATTTCCAACCGAGCTTGGTGACAGCCACAAAATCGTGAAAATTTCCACCAGTACTGGTAGTAAATACACAGGTACTAGGACATATGTAACCTGTTACCACACATATTACACTGCACTATCCATTCAAAATGTGTATCTCATAGCTCAACCATATCATTCATGTAATTATAAAAACATATTACTTAATTTCAACTGTAGTTGAAACTCAAATTATATTCATTTCTTTTTGAATAATTTAAATAATTCTCTGTAAAATTTCAATTACTGTAGAATACTTTATTTTCGCTTGGAATTAATTTTCGCTATTTTCACTGAAGGAATGATTCAGTAAAAATAAATTCCAGCGAATATACCTTTTTTCCTATATTTTACATTCAACTTGTCAAAAATCAGTCACATCCCTTTGTTGCATTATACCATTTTGATAGAAGTCACAGTATGTTGATAAGTATTTAGAATGAAATTGCCTTTAGCATGTAAGGCTAGGATTATCAAAAGCATGTCACAACCACCTGTAATTCTGGACATGTAGTGACAGGTTTATAGCCAGAATGGAAAGTCCCAGTCTAAATTTATATTGCAATACAAGATGATAATTCCTAGTCTAGTTTTTTTTGATTATTTTTTTGTGAAATTTTGATATTTTCAATCAAAAGTTGACAAGTTTATAGCCTGTTCAATCACATTTTGTGCATCTCTTAATTTTAGAGTGGCTGGCTAAAACAGCTACAGTATAGGTCCCATCCAAACATCACTGCAAATGGGAGCACATGTTTGACTTAAACCTCATCAGCAACTCTTTTCCCTCGTTGCACTAACAGGCATTATAAAATCAGTAGTGTAATTCCTCTTGTTTCACGCATTGAAACCTCATTCCATCTTTGGTACTATGTGACAAGAATGTGAGACCCTCTTCAAATCATAACAGCAATTTGAATGCATAAGCACCTGCAGACCGTGTGTATGGTTCCCCCAAAGTTGCATATGTTAGTGATGAATCTCAGCCAGTGGAACTGACGCTCCCATTGAGTCTGTGCCAGCACACACCCAGGGTTGTTGAACCCAGATAGAATCAGAACTTGAGATCCACTGATTCACAAGCCTCCAGTGATTTGTTGAAATTTGTTTGATCAACTATTTTAGACATAATTAGAGGTAGAGAAATATAGAAATGATGAATTTACTATTTTAAACATTTGGAAATACAGATTCTATAATCTGTTTTGACTACTAATAAATGTTCATGACTGAATATTGTTGTATTGATTACCTTATGGATGTACCAATCATCAATTTACTTAGATTTAGATACCTAATTAAATTTTAAATATCAAATATTCCTTACTTTATAATAGTTTATAAAACATACAGTAAATGACAAAATTATTGCAACTGATGCATTCTACATTGCACCAAAATAAACCATTTTTCTATCATATCATAACCACTAGTCCACCACCCTTTACTGTTGACCCTGCTACTAAACATTTGACACATTGTCTTGTGAATCCTGTTTTTCTCCATTGATTTTGATATGTCTGTAGAGGCTTTCAGCAGACAATGTGTTTAGGAAATCATTGGGGTAGGATACCAGCCACTGCATTTTGGTAGGAAATCACAAAGCAGTGAAATATGCTATTCCTTGGAGTTGAGAGAAAGTACAGTAGGTATGAAATCACCCATCTCAACAAAGTCCACCAAAACAATATTGATGCCTTTCTCTCCTATCTTCTTCTCCTTCAGAAAAAATTGCAAATTCCTGATTGCCGATGCAGCTAAACAGTCTTTCAGACTACTGCCCAAGTTTCCCAACACTGTTGTTCCAGTCGGGGTGAGAATTCCTTGGGTGACATGAAACTTATCCAGGTGCCTTCCCCTTGTGTGGAAAGCTTCCAATCGGTTCACCATTTTGGCAGGCTCAGGCGTTTGCGGCCAGGGAGCATAAATTGCCTGGCTTGTCCACATGGTGGGGTATTCTTCAGCGAAATCGTCTTGGTAAAATATGATGACCTGCCATTTGTTTTCTCTGAGAAACTCAAGGGTGCAATCTTTACAGTCCATGCGAGGACAGATTTTGTGACTGAAAATATCCGCAAATTTGTCAAACAGATCCAAGTGATGTGTTTCATCCATCTGATACACGTGATTGAAATCGATGAGCACCACTTCTTTGGGATGCTCATCCAGCCATTTATTGATTTCATTCATGGCATCGATGACTCTGCCGGCAAATAAACCATGTGCCAGGTGGATATCTGGCTTTCCATCTTGCTTGGATATGCGCATGTCAAAATATCGAACCCCATGTTCCAGTTGGTCACGGAAACACAGAGTCTGGCACACAGACCAATTTTGTATGATATTCTTGGCAGCACTACCAAACATTGAGACCAGATGGCGTATGGTGTCTGGGGAGCCTGGTGCCACTCCAGAAGACAGGTCTAGGAAGTATGAACCAGAGTTGTGAGAACCTGAAAAACAAATATTAATACTATTATTCTGTTTAATCAATGGATGATGTTCATTTTTAATCTTACTCAGAATCCAAATATTGCAATGTACAAAAATGTCAAATATGGCATTTTATGTGAAACTTCAGAGAATCCTGTTTACTGTTATTTTAAATATGACAGTAATTGAATTCCACATGGTATTGTGTGACAGAGTAAACACAATAAATTTGACTTGAATTTTGAGTATGTTATGTAAATCACTGTATACCTTGCAGACCTTGAAAATGGCATGGGGAGAAGGAGGAGGCTAAAGGTATATGCTTTAATCTGCGGTACATATCATTGAATGTCACTTGTTATGATGCTAAGATGTACTTTGAAGTTGAAACATCTTTTAAGTAAAGAGCTTTAATAATTTAGTTCATTCATATTAATACTCTTCAATGAAGTATAGTAACAAGGTTATTAATTATGCAGTTCAGGGTGCATGGAACATGATATACTACTACAGCTGATTTTCTAATGATGTACAGGAAAAAAATAAGTAATATAAATTTGAAATGCTCAAAAGTATGTGAATTCTGTACATGTCTTAATAAAGTGCTGATCACATAAAAATAGATATTGGGAAAGCATGATCATGTAATAATGTATGATTGAATTTTGATTCCATTTTATAGTGTGAATTACACAATGTCTCTTGTTATATGCTTTAATCGTTACTTACGTTATATTAGTATTTTTTTCACATTTTGACTTGTAATTTACATATTTTTGGGCATTCAACTGAAAGCTCTGCGAATGACGCATGACGATTTTATCATTTTAACTTGTCATAGTGATCACCCACAATTCATTGAATTGTTAACACCTGCAGTGAAAAATGTATGGTTTCACAAATGTTTTTTAACCGCAGAAAAAGCAAGACTTTTTATTATCAAGAGTAGATTAAATATAGATTGGGAAAGTTATTAAAATTACATTACATTAATTTAAGCTGCATAAACTAATTTTCTCAATCCAAGTAACTTTTTTCACATGTTCGTGCCAGGCAATAGTCCCTAGCATTGAACGTCACTCGTGTCTCTCCTGACTTGTTTACCGGTACCGGTAGTTGTTTAAATTCATGCACACTGCAAGTCCAAGCACTGTTGATATTCATTACTGACACAGAAATGATACCTAATGTTTATGGCTATATGCTAGGGTTGCGTGATCATCTTTCTATATCAGTGGCTGAGATGTTTGTTTGTAATAGAAACAGAGTGTTTTTAGAAGCCAGGGTAGAGGACACTTAATGTACAATTTTTAACTTGTTTTTTAATTATCCGACACAATTCTATCTCATAAATCTTACAGTAAAATAGATTTCCATAATGTGGTCTTGATTCAGGTTGCAAACCCACCATAATTTGTTCAATATTAAATATCATGGGATTAAATTATAAATATTCTGATAAACTAACTTTGATGTCATTTTTGTCGCATCTGTAGCTAAATACAGATTATTTTAATAAAAAAACCCAAGAATACAACTTAGTGGAAAAAATAAAATAAAATTATAATATAAAATAAAAATCCCTGCCTAACTACCAACCCAGTATTTTTTTAGATCATTAACAGAAACACTAAAATTGTTTTATTTGGTGTAATAAAAATGTGAAAGAATTATTAATATGGAAGCATAAACAATTTTTGCTAAGATATCGTTTAATAAATTACCGTAAGACCATTTGGATAGTAATATGGTCGTGTAAGACTGAATTTAATTCCAATATAGAATATGATTAAATGCAATATTCACTCTACCATTATACAATGTATCAAAGAAACCTAATTAAATTTTGTATAGCCTTTTTTCCCAGCACCATACAAGAAAAGTTCATTCCTTAATACTGTGTCATAGAAAATACCATAGTATGATGAGTGTTACTAGAGAAGATTCACAATTTATTACATTTACATACTTGCTCCCCCATTTACCTAGAAAAATAATTAACTAGGTCACAGATAATATTCTCATGCTTCACACATGGCAAGTGTGAGTTTGAATAGTAAAAAAATAGTCACCATTAGATTCTATTTGAAAAATTATCTAACAGTCTCAATGTTACTAAATCGTATAAATTATTTAGGCCAAAGAAATTCTTTTCAACAAAAAGAGCAGACGTCAAGGTCTTATGATCTCAGAGGCAGAATGCCAACATGCTATGATGTATAGGTGTAGTGGCTTTGGTTACTGAAGTATGACTACATATTATGGGTCAGTGCCTCCCATTTGTAGTGACACCCACCATACAATGATGTACTGCCTAGAGTGAAACAGGACAGACAAGGTCAACATTTCAATGACTCTGTATAGTCCTGACATTTATAGAGTCCATTTAACACTCATTATACAATAAATTACTGATAATGTTTTTCACAGTCTCCAAAATATGTCTACATTTTATTTTCTCACAGTAGTATGTGTTTGCATTTGTTGTTGATGTATGTCACAATTTGATGCAAAAATTAATTAAGCGCAAAATTTTGCACACATTTGTGTATTCTCCTACCAATTGCTTTGTTATTTCTAGAGTAAATAGATTTACTTTTCCGTTGCTCTACATCGATCACATGTTTTTGAAAAAAAATTGGAAATAAATTAAAATGCAAACTTATTTTGTGAATAATGAAAAAGGTGGGGGGACTCAAAGAGTAAAAAAAAATAATCCTCTGGGGATGAAATTAAAAAATAGCTATTATTATTATTATATTATGTATACCGTAAACAAAATTGCAGACTGGTTGGTATGTATTGTGATATTATTTTGTTTTGTTCAATCGCACAAATATGAGCGTAGTTCATAATTGCATTGAATGTATTGTAATTGTACTTAGTAACGGGTCACGCCTCCATGGCAACTGGAATGTCAGGGGACCAATGTCTTGATATTATAATGCAAAACTAAAAAAATAGTTAACACATTATTATGAGGTCATATACTCACTGAAACTGTGACAACTTTTACGAATGTTTCCTAAGTTGTGATACCTATCTATACACGTGAACGGGAACGCAATTAACCATGAACGTCCCATCATCATGAATTTTCAAGTTGAAGAAATCGCAACGTCACGAAGAAAGTGTCGCAACTTCAATTCGGTCAGTGTAAATACAAATCGTGCAATTTACCTGGAATCGCAATATTCTTGAGTGGTTCCCTGCATAATCTTGGTGGCAAGTCTCCCATCCAATCGCAGTATAGCTGGGGTTTCGTTTCGACACCGGTCTCCCTGTTTCCAACTTCCGCCATTTTTGCACCTGCCATCGTCCCACAATGCACCAGTAACCTTATGACTCGCGTATAAAAGGGATTGGTGTATCGTGTAAGCATGTACGCCGAATACAGCGTAATTCAATGGTCTAAGTGTTCCCGTGTATTCATGTAACTCTGGCAGCGTGGATTCACATAAATATTTCAAAATAAAAACAAACAATATAACTAAACTACAATTTTATTTGTGGTATATTGCATCAGGACAGTTGCAGCGTGCCATTATTTCCTGTGTCATTTTTAAGCCGTGCCAATTTACTGGCCGTCTGATTATCCCTCATACAAATATTGATAGGTCATTGTCACGCCGGTAAACCATATTTGAGATATTATAGAGGGGGGTACAGTTTTACGGGAAATAAAATGTGCTTTTCACAATTTACAAGGGAAAAAAAAGACGTTTTTACAGTTTACAGTGAAAATTAAATTTTGCAGTGAATTGTGTCATCTAGTCGTTTTACAGTTTCGAAAATGTAACTTCCCTGGATTATTCTTTACGACTTTTTTTAATTTGGATGTAAATTCTTTGTACGTACCACATAGAGGGACTGTGTACGTACCGAGAAAAATTACACATTCTTACAGTGTACGAACAAAATGTTTGATTACGTTGTACATCTAGTCTGTGATTACAAAATTACGGAATTTATTTTTTCAATTTACGTTGTACGAACAAAAAAATATTGCAATTACGTTGAACGAAAATAACCCTTGCCCCCCCCCCCATTATACTATTCACCTTGTTTAACAAGTGGTTAATCGGCGCGTTATGATGCCGTTTATAGTCATAGATCTACAAACTACCAGTATAAAATAATTATTTCCAACGTTTTTATTAACATGTCAGTAGTACATGTGTTTTTTTTTAATTTCTGCCCGTTCATATCAGCGGTTTGTGCAATTGCAATGTCATGGAAGTATCAGGTAGTAACGGCATATAAATAAGTAAGTCTAAGCAGGCAGAATGTGTGGGCATGGCGTAATGAAGACTTGTTTTATACTGTAAACGAATATTATAATGTTTTCAAATTACGTCACTTAGTCACGTGACTTTGGGCAAGGGACGCCGGAACCAGCGAAATTGCTACATAGCTATTTTGTCTCACCACTTCTAGAGGGCGCTCTGCATTTCTTTTCACAGAACATTTGTCTAAAATGTGTACAGGGAGCATAGCAATTCGACAAACTAATGGAGGAGAGAAGGAAATTTAAACAACTTTACATGTAATGTGCTGGAGATACCTGTTTTGCGGGAGGGGAAATTTTGATAGAGAACCAAAATGTTTATAACAAATTCAAATAATGATAAAAAAATACGAGTCATGGTTTTGACAAATTTGCTCGCTTGTGTATTACTCGCCAGACACCGGTTCTACTTTTTGTAGTAACTGCTCAACTTGACAAAACCACACTGCCCAGAAAATATATCCATGTGCTATGGAAATTCTTCCTTTATTTGACCATTTTTTTTTACAATGATTTTGGGAAATACCTTGTAAAACTACATTAGCATGTATCCATGCTCGGACGTCCAGAACAAAAAATACTCGTTTTAAATATTTTTGTCAAGATCAAAACGACCCAACTACGTACCAATGAACGCTTGGTGGCGCCCTTCAATAAATAAATTGACGATCACGCAAATACAGCGATTCTTGATACGCACCTGCTGTCAGAATTTTCTTTCAAGCCGCACATGCTATATAAATAACAAGCAGAAATCACGCCAGTGTGCGGTACAGAATTAATACGTTTATTAAGCTAGTAGTGATTTATATACACAACGGGATGATGCTAAGAGAAATATTACTACATGTAGTTACATTAATACATGTCATAATAAAACGGCATACAATTATAAGACAAACTAGACTATACGCTCATCAAAATTACAATAATGCGTGAAGCATACTCGTTATAAATACAAGCAGTAAATTAAAAACTGGCATTATAAGTTGTTAATACAACCGGTTAGACCTAATAACACGTCACACAATGACAAGTTCAGACTGTCCTAATGTCCGGTAAGTTCAAACGTTCACTTGCTCGACACTTTTGCTTCACTCCACACAATCCAGAATTCCACTTCACAGCCTTCCACTCAGACTGCGCTCCATGCTCCATGCGTTACGACGGCTCACCACTCACGGGTCATCTGGAAAAGGGACAAGTACATTCCATAATACCTGCCGTTTTAAACACAACTAAAGAAACACAAGTCATTGTCAATGACACGTCCCCGTTCCGTTCATATTTGAGTGACATATACATTCAAAGCAGATCATGACCGAAATGCACCTGCATATGTACAACACATTGTGCTAAATCTGAACAAAATCCATCCATGCATGACTGAGATCCGGTTCTGGAATTGTGAAAATACGTGATTTTGATGCATTTTCGGCCTTAAAATGGCCATCATTCCGCTATTGTTAAGCAGATCATGAAACAAATGCACATATCCATTTGTGACATGATGTACCATGTGTGTGTGAAGTTTGAACTTGATCAATCCAGACATGTCTTGGATACGGATCCAGAACTGAATTCTTTAACAAAATGGCCGCCAGTCGGCCATTTCGAACTTGATCCGAAAAAAAAGACGTGCATCAAGGTCCTATTATGTTTAATGTATGTACCAAATTTGAATGAAA